TGATCCCAGCCTGCACCTCCCCTGCCTTCTCCCTGCCTGCTGTCTCTGCCTGCACTCTGCCTGCCCCCCTGCCTCCTCCCTGCCTGCTCCCTGCCTGCGTGCTGCCTGCACCTCCCCTGCCTGCTCCCTGCCTGCACCCTGCCTTCTCCTTGCCTGCAACTTGCCTCCTCCCTGCCTGCTCCCTGCCTGCGTGCTGCCTGCGCCTCCCCTGCCTTCTCCCTGTCTGCTCTCCCTGCCTGCTCCCTCCCTGCTCCCTCCCTGCTCCCTCCCTGCTCCCTGCCTGCACCCCATTTGCACCCTGCCAGCTCCCTGCCTTCTCCTTGCCGGCAATTTGCCTCCTCCCTGCCTGCTCCCTGCCTGTGCACTGCCTGCCTTCTCCCTGTCTGCTCTCCATGCCTGCTCCCTGCCAGCACTTCCCCTGCCTGCTCCCTGCCTGCAAATCTCCTGCTCCTGCCTGCTCCCTGCCTGCCCCTCTCCTGCCTGCTCCCAGCTGGCTTTGGAGCACTCCCCCTGCCTGCTCCCTGCCTGCTCCCTGCCTGCTCCCTGCCTTCTCCTTGCCTGCAACCTGCCTCCTCCCTGCCTGCTCCCTGCCTCCTCCTTGCCTGCAACTTGCCTCCTCCCTGCCTGCTCTCTCTGCCTGCACTCTGCCTGCACCCCTGCCTCCTCCCTGCACCTCCCCTGCCTTCTCCCTGCCTGCTCTCTCTGCCTGCACTCTGCCTGCACCCCTGCCTCCTCCCTGCCTGCTCCCTGCCTGCGTGCTCCCTGCACCTCCCCTGCCTTCTCCCTGTCTGCTCTTCCTGCCTGCTCCCTGCCTGCCCCTCTCCTGCCTGCTCCCTGCCTCCTTCCTGCCTCCACCCCTCCTGCCTGCTCCCTGCCTGCACCCCTGACATGCACCTGCCCTGCTTGCAGCTCTTCCTGCCTGCTCCCTGCCTGCACGCTGCCTGCACCCCATTTGCACCCTGCCTGCACCTCCCCTGCCTGCTCCCTGCCTGCTCCCTGCCTGCTCCCTGCCTTCTCCTTGCCTGCAACCTGCCTCCTCCCTGCCTGCTCCCTGCCTGCGTGCTGCCTGCACCTCCCCTGCCTGCTCCCTGCCTGCACCCTGCCTTCTCCTTGCCTGCAACTTGCCTCCTCCCTGCCTGCTCCCTGCCTGCGAGCTGCCTGCGCCTCCCCTGCCTTCTCCCTGTCTGCTCTCCCTGCCTGCTCCCTCCCTGCTCCCTCCCTGCTCCCTCCCTGCTCCCTGCCTGCACCCCATTTGCACCCTGCCAGCTCCCTGCCTTCTCCTTGCCGGCAATTTGCCTCCTCCCTGCCTGCTCCCTGCCTGCTCCCTGCCTGTGCGCTGCCTGCCTTCTCCCTGTCTGCTCTCCATGCCTGCTCCCTGCCAGCACTTCCCCTGCCTGCTCCCTGCCTGCAAATCTCCTGCCTGCTCCCTGCCTGCAACCCTGACGTGCACCTGCCCTGCTTGTAGCTCTCCCTACCTGCTCCCTGCCTGCACCTCCCCTGCCTTCTCCCTGCCTGCACCCTGCCTGCACCCCTCCTGCCTCCTCCATGCCTCCTCTCTTCCTTTCCCCTGCCTG